ACATAGAATAATTGATCGCCATCAAAAGTTAATTCTCAAGTAATACAGCAAAACTTTATTTACTTTTTATGTAGGGTATCTCTTAGTCTAGCACTTACGAGCCCTCACTTATTATTAAAGCAATATTCAAATTTTATGGCAGCAACGTTAAAAACGTGTAAAAATATTTTGACAGCTGATGTCAAATGTAGAAGACACGTTCAGGCTTCTGAAAGGGCTTAAGAAGAAAATCGATGCAATTTGAGCTGTTTCTAATCAGCTTAGCAGCATACATAAAAACAAATCATTAAAGAGCTTCACCAGGTGTTTTGCATAAAAAGGACATAAATTTAGCACTTAAAGTATGAAAGAATTGTGTTTGCAATTTGAAAATATCAGAAATTGTCAGAGTTTCGCTTGAATAGCGATAAACAGATGAATGGACAGCAACAGGGGCACTCTATACATATATACATATACATATATAAAATCAATTTCCTCTGAGCTTTTCACTTTGTAAGTTCATATTAAATGTCTTCGTAGTTTGCGAAAATTAATGAACTAATTAGCTGCAATCTATTGCCTTGAAAAGGGGGAAACGTTTAATGAAGACTCTGATTCAAAGTTTTCATCAATGATGAGCGTCAAACTGTGGCAATAATTAATTGAATGAAAGTTTGAATCTGGAAACTAACGCAGAGCTGACAAGAGCAATAGAAGCCAATTAAAATTATAGAATATAGAAACATTTATATATAAATATTAGTAAAATATATATAGAAAAATAAAAGAAAATATATATATTTAAGTTCAATCAATGATACAAAATAAATTATTGCAGTGAATAAAATAATGAAAAATTGAAAAAATATATATATAAATATATAATAATAATATAATATAAATACATAATAATATAATATAGAATCAATTTATAATACAAAATAAATTATACGAAATTGTAGTGAACAAAATAATAAAAAAAAATTAAAAATAATATATTAATATATAATAATAATATAATATAAATAATATTAATATAACATAAAATCAATCAATAATACAAAATAAATAATACGAAATTGTAGTGAATAAAATAATAAAAAAATTCAAAAATATATATATATATATAAATATATAATAATATAATATTAATATAACATATAATCAATTAATAATACAAAATAAATTATACGAAATTGTAGTGAATAAAGTAATAAAAAATTTAAAAGAATATATATAAATATATAAAAAAAAAATAAAATATAAATAATAATAATATAACATAACAAACGTAATAAAAAATTAAACAAATATACATATGTATATAATATTAATATAAGACATTTAAATAAATTATACGAGAAACTAAAATATGTGTAAATAATTCAAAATCTATATTTAATAAAATAAACATAAAAATCAATCAAATAACTTAAGTATACAATAAAATATAGATAACAAATAAATTAAGTATACAATAAAAT